ACATTTTTATTGGTTAATGTTATTCGTATCTACGCATTTTTATTGGACGATAATATAGATTGGAAAATTTCTTCCAACTGCTGGAACTCTGGAAGAATTTGGACGTCCAATGAGGTTCCAGACTTCCAGTAAACATCACTGGTATAGCCGGTAAAATCATATATCTTAAACTCTGCATCAGTAATATCTAAAATCTCTAAAATCAAAAGAATACAAATATACGTACTTCGTACATATTAGTAATAGATCTAGAATAAAAACTATTTATACCACTAGTGTAAATTTTTTCTTTTTTCGATTTACTCGTAAACCTTACTGTATATAGTATATCAAAATTTTGGGTGGCGATCTACCCCGGTTGTTTCACAATGATCCGTTATAATTATTACTCTTAAATCTCATATAAGTTAGCCTCTTTTAACGATTACCTTAAATCACTAAATCAAAGTTTTGACAATAGGATTTATAGTAAAAAGAGTAAAAAGAAAAAAAAAAAATCTAGTTCTATCCAATCAAATTAATGATTATCTCATATATCTCTAAAATGCAAAATCAAACTTTCAACCCCAAATGTTCGAGGTACGTATGTTGATCTTTTCCGTATTAGTGCAACTTAATGTACTGTCTACGATCGTGCAAGTGACCAAGGTAATAAGTGGCACAAGTTTAAAAATATAATACCTCAATAAATTTCCGTTTATCAGTCGCACTTACGGTTGAATCGACACCTGTCAAACGCAATCTTTAACGATAAATTTATCCCGACGCGTAAAACTTTATCAGGATGCGGCGAATAGTGAGAATTTTACTTGTTGGGGATGGTAGGTTCAAGTTATTCAATGGTCAACGTTTTTCATATTCTCATGCTGATTGGTTATATAAAAAAAAACATTTAAAAGATGGTGTTGGGAAGAGTACCTTAATAACGTCTCTTATAAAGGAGACTTTTGTTCCAAATGTAAGTATACACGTTTTTTACATTTTATTTTAATATTATATCTAACTCTGGATATCAAAATTCGAAGATCCAACACGTCGTCCCGGAAGTCACAATTCCGCCGGAAGTCACTCCAGAAAATGTAATTACACATATTGTAGATTCATCTGGTAAGATACATGCATTACTTTTAATCCTATACTTTTTTGCCTTTATGCTTGTAATTCAGAAAATTACACCTATTTTTCACGATTTTCTGTAACAAGCACGTCCGGAACATCGTGAACAGCTTGAACTAGAAATCAAAAAATCCCACGTTATATGCATTGTCTATTCAGTAGATGATGAGCATACTTTTAACCGCCTTGCATCATATTGGTTACCATATATTAGAGGTCTTGGGGTGAATGTGAGCAAAAGAGGGGAAAAAATAAAAAAAGTTCGAATTCTATCAATGCATTATTTATTATACCAAATGATCGAATTTAATCTTAATCTTTATCAATTCCTGGTTAGGTTCCTATTGTGTTAGTAGGTAACAAGATCGATCTCCGGGGTGATCACGTAGCTAATCAGTCTCTGGAAGATGAAATAATACCGATTATGAATGAGTTCAAAGTAATTACGAAGTTCAGACTCCTGCTTTAAAATTCTTAGTAGCGCGTTTATTTACCAATTGTGGTACTATAGGAGGTAGAAACATGCGTCGAATGTTCTGCAAAGCAGCCATTAAACGTGTCCGAGGTTTTTTATTTTGCTCAGAAAGCCGTACTTCATCCGACTGCACCCTTGTACGATTCTAGAGAACATGTAAGCAATATCCTAACGGAATGCTACCTCCAAATTATGTTGATTCCATCATTCATATTTATATATCATTAATAATTAAATTTAGGTCCTGAAGCCGGAATGCATTGATGCACTTAAACGTATCTTTAGTCTTTGTGACATCGATAAAGATGGTGTGCTGGATGATGATGAGCTTAACGAATTTCAGGTAGCAATAGTTCGACAGCATTGCTTGTCCATATTACAAAGATCGCACGTCTTTTAATTCATGCCACTATATGTAGCGGAAATGCTTCAATGCGCCACTTCAACAACAAGAACTTGAAGGTGTCAAGGAGGTTGTGAGGGAACATGAGCCTAATGGTGTTAATGAAGTGGGCCTGACTGAACTTGGTTTTTTATTCCTTCATACGCTTTTTATACAACGGGGTCGATTAGAAACTACGTGGACAGTTCTACGAAAATTTGGTTATGGCGATGATTTATCGTTGAGAGAAGACTTCCTCTTTCCTCCGTACGTACATAGTTTTATTAAATTAAATTAGTTAACAATGATAGCGTTCTATTCTTAATGATATCGATATATTTACGACTTACTAGATTCGAAGTTCAACATGATTGTTCTGTAGAATTAAGTCCTAATGGATATCAATTCTTTGCAGACATATTTCAAGTTTTTGATAAAGTAGGTTTATAGAATAGATCACAAATCATTATCTGGATACTTGTGTTTTGCCAGTAGTTCGTTGTTACCATTTCGCCCTGATGTAAATTATGTAACAAGGATAAAGATGGCGCGTTAAAAGATAGCGAACTGGCATCGCTTTTCGCTACGACACCTGGTAATCCATGGGCAAATTCCGAATTTCCTCACACTACAATCACAAATGAGGCGGGTGCGGTTACATTACAAGGATGGCTGGCACAATGGAGGTATGAGTAAGTTGAAATATATTTGTGCTTAACAAAGCAATTTATCAACAGTCGTGGGTCAAATATTTAGATTTAAAAAAATAAATTAAAATAAAAATTTTATGAACACCCTCTTAAAATAACGATTAGTATGACAACGCTTCTCGATTACAAGACGACATTATCATACTTGGCATATTTGGGATTTGAAGGAGATACAACAGCAGCCTTAAAAAAGACAAAACCAAAGAAAATAGACAAGAAGCGAAACAAAGTGCAGAGAAATGTGTTTTTGGTATATGTTTTCGGTGCAGCAGGTTCTGGTAAGGTAAGATTGCGTTTGACTTCTTTGTTTATTATATACCTATATATATATATTTTTGTATCTTATGTTATGAATTATCAATTTACATAGACGTCGCTGTTGAGAGCATTTGTAAGCAAGCCTTTTACGGATGTCTATACACCATCTACAAGACCTTTTAGTTTAGTAAATTCTGTCGAAATCAAAGGGGAAGAAAAATATTTGGTGGTATGTTTTGTCATGTTACAACGAAAATTTAAAACCGTTTAATAGTCTTAGTATGTTAATTTTTCAGCTGCAAGAGGTTGGTTCGAAATATGAAGCTGAAATATTTCAAAATAAGCGCAAATTAGAGATGTGTGATTTGCTTTGTTTTGTATACGATTCGAGCGATCCAGATTCCTTTTCGTATATCGTGGAGCTTAGGGTAAATACTCTGCGTCTTTACAGTTTACATCACTCTATAAAATAGTTATTGATACTAGATTTATATACTATTTAAGATCTGCTAATGGCCTGTTTTTTCCTTAGAAGCGGCATAATTTAGATGATTTCCCGACCGTATTTGTTGCAACAAAGAGTGATTTAGATTTAGTCCAACAGGTTTGTAATATTTATATATTTATTTACATTAGTTACTTCGTATAATATTATCTTCTGATATTTCGTGGTTTAGCGGCACGAGGTTCAACCAGACGTATATTGTCGCAGTCTGGGACTCGCCGTTCCTTTGTGCGTATCAGTGAAAAAACAACAAACTGCAGATTTATGGAATCTATTGACTGGGTTGTCTATAAACCCAGCTAAAGCTACTCCAAGGCTTGCGAATGCCTCACACTGTGCATCTAAACTTAAGCGATATTTGACATTCACTGCCGTGATGGGAGCGGTAATGGGAGCCGCATTTTTAGGATATCGGCTATTTCAGCATCAGCGAGGGTTTGGGGGTATAACAAAAAGAGACATACTATAGGCAATGAAGTTTTTTTATGCATTCAAGCCGAAAAAATATAAATTTATTACATAGTGAACGATTATTAAGGACACTGGATTCATGTTCAAAGGCAGATTGTGATATATTGATTGTTTTTTTAAATGGAATGTTCTGTACTTTATTGCTTCATAAAAGAGACTTGGTTAAGACAATAAAAAAAAGAATAAAAAAAAACAATTTCCATATTCTATTATGGCTATATAGCAATTAAAACAACTTTATTTATTAGACAAAACCTTTTTAAGTAATTTCGAATATTTTTTTCAATGGTAAATAAATTGTCCCATGTTTAACGAAGACGTCTCGCCTCACGTTCAGATTCTAAGAGACATAGGATATCGTTTTCACGAACAGGTCCTTTAACGTTACGGATGATTGAGCGTGTTGAATCGTCCATAAATTCAACTCGAACCTGAGTTACACCACCGCGAGAGCCTGTGCGGCCAAGCACTTTTGTAACTTTTGCGAGTTTAACTTGTTGCTTTGTATCCTTTTTTAAATGGGATAATAGGTTAGCAATGTTGAATAATAATATGCATACTCGAAATTATTGTACTTTACCATTATGTAGTATTTAACGTTAATGAATTTATTTAAAGATAAATATCGAAAAAAAAATCAAAGTATAAATTTTCATTGGGTGATACTAATGCAATATTTTCATTGGCCAAAATTAACCAATAACGATAACGATATTAGATTATCTTGTTTCTACTCACGTGAAATTACAAAAAATTTTTAATTAGCCCTAGTTAGGGTCATTAAGTTCGGATTTTTTAAAGGGTTATTTAATCTATAAATTTATATATGAATTTGTACTAATTTAGGTTGTTCTTGACTAGCTCTACACTGTAACAGAACCGGTTTTTTTTAATAACCTATGTTAATTATTGATAAATTAATTCAAAAGTTATTAAAAAACCGGTTCTGTTACAGTGTAGAGTTAGTTCAGAACTACAGTAAAAAAAAATATATATACAATTTTGTTTGTTGGTTGTGTAGAAAAATATACCTAAATTTAGGGATGTTACGGTCCCAAAAGACCATGGTCCGGACCGGTCTTTTGGACCGGTTTAAGTTGTCTTCGGTCCAAAATTTAGGACCGGGTCCGGACTGGTCTTTAATCAAATTATATAGTTTAATAAATTTATATTGTC